GTGTTCCGCCAGTTTACGGCCTATCCCAGATGAGCGACGGAACTCGATGGTGTGAATGCAGAGGGTTGAGAACGCGTGGGTGATTCTACATGGTCAGCTTGATACCTGTATAGATTATCGACGGAGAATTACAGATGTGGAGGTCCATGTTGGACCAGATTATGCGAGAGCATATCCTCCAACACTCGTGTGCTTTTGGTCGCGGCATCCAAGGCTATCTGGCCCTGGCTGTCCAAAATACCATCCGGTGGATTAAGAAATGACGGTCGGTAAAGCAGAACATAGAGATTTCTAGACATTGGTCAGTCAGGGAGTCAATTCAAGTCAAATGAATATTGCTTACTGGTATGTCATTTGTAAGAGTCCCGCTAGGAACCTGGCTCGCGGAGTTGTGGCGTTTTCGAGCTTCAGCTCAGGAGGCATATCGAATTCCCAATCCACCAGTTGCTTATGCAACACCGCTCGTGATGTGCCGCTGGATGAGGAAGATACCGGCGAATAATGGGTCGATACAATAGAACTCACTGAACGGTAAGCAAAGATTCAAAGTCGGGATGTTCGGACATACATAATTTGGCCAACTTGGCCATCTCGGCCGGATAACGGAGATCTTCTATACACTGCACACCGAAAAGACCTTGTCCTTCCGCTTCCTCTTTCCGGATATCTTCTGGCTCAAGCATGGCGACATCGCAGTCTTCGTCCCGAATGTGCGGCGGCAGCCCAAGTGCTGCGGCGCTTTGCTGGTCTCGGGCCTGGCAACGGTTAGTATTGACAGCAAGTTTATGAGAGAGGACATACATAGAGCGACCACCAAATTCGCTTCCATAGCCCTGCCTCTCGACCGGAACCAAAAAAAAACTTAGACCTGATTGGATTAGCAGGTGACATGGTGCAATAGAAAAACACATACATCAAATGCATGCCGCGCTTTTGAGCCAAGTCAATGGCAATGCCTAGCCAGAATCGAATGTCCCGCTCTTCAGAAGGACCTCCACGCCAGAAGCTCAACAGAAACAACGATTGGATCTTGACCGTCTTGTTAGACTCCCATTCCGCATCATATATCGCCTTTGCTCGGCTGTAGAAAAGGAATTTCGCCCAGTATCGAACGGGGAACTCCGTCTGGGCAAACGCCTCGTCCGTGCAAAGGCTTACGCCAATGAACAGCATAGCCTGGAGGAGCAGGGGCGACAAGATCCCTTGCGCATAGCCCTCATCCACAGCAGCACGATCAAGGATCGGGAAACAGGGATGAAACCAGTCAAAGTACGCCCGCAGAAGAATGGCACATGTCTCCGGCGGGGGGTACAAAAAGGCCCCGTCAGCTCTAAGCTGGTCTTCCTTCTTGACTTTGTGTGCACGAAAAGCCTCATCTCGGGTATTGAAAGCGTTGAGCTTCTCTGGAATGGGATAGTGAAAGCGAGTCATGTGCCGTTCACCACTTCCCTTCTCAGGCGATCGGCGCCCTTCGTCAATGACTACAGTGAGTGGACTGGATTCGCCAAAGAACACCGTCTGGTGGGCACTGGCAGCATCCCCTGACATCGGATGAACATGCGTCTCTCTTTCTTCGTCTTTACCACCCGACGGTGACGTTGAGGAATGGCTTCTTCCTTTCCCCGATGATGTCGGTAATTGGACCGAATTGCCGTCCGTTTGTGACATAGCATGTTGCCGGGCGGTCTTCTTACGGGGATACCTATGCCCTGAATCAGTCTACGTCCCACGGCCACAATGAGAATAAGGAAAGCATACTTTCCTCGCTTCGAGACGCCTATCTCACAGGGCACATTCAACGAGAGACAATTCTGACATGGGCGCATCTGTAGCACATTGCAGCGGATTCGCCGCCGGTTGCAGTGGAGACAAGCCTGTTTGGCTCTGGTTCTCACCTGTCGGTGACCCGAGGCCTCCTGACTGGACATGATTCTGGAGTTAGTTCCAGCTACTATTGAAGGAGAGATCGTCCGCAGTGGAGTTCAGAGGTGACCAGGGAACAATGCAAGTAGCCGTCGTCGAGGATGAAAGCGGCTTTATGCTACCTCGGTCTTGGCGAGGATGTCGGCCTTTTTGCCTGCTTTCCCGATCCACCTGCTTCGGCGATGGGGATATGGTGCCGATATTCTCGGACAAGTCGAACCCGCCACAGTGAGAAATTTCAAGGATTCGTAGCAGTAGCTTGTTTCGGAAAGAGATTGAGTGCAAATTTCATGATGCGACCCACTAGCTTTACGTCTGATCAGTATGCAGTCTACGTACCTCTAGCCTTTGAGTGGCAACACCAGCCAGTCCACCTACGTATTAACAAAGGGTTAAAAGTTCCAACACTCATGAGAATAGCGAAGTCTACTAGCCCATTTGTACATAGTCTAACTTATCTATCACTATTTCTCCGTACCCTCGTCGAGCCCCAACTCAGCCAGAATCGCCTTGTTATGCTCACCCACTTCAGGGACCGCATCCATGCGCGCCCCATAAGTATCCGCATCACCCATGGTCATTCCAGGAGGTAACAGAGCTGGCACAATCCCCGCCGGAGTCTCAACATCAGTCCATCGCTGCCGGGCTTTCAGCTGCGGGTGGTTCCAGACGCCTTGCATGTCATTGACGCTGGCATTCGCAATCGCCGCTTCATCCAGTCGAGCAATGACCTGCTCCGCAGAAAGCGACGAGAAGACATCGCAGATGATCTTCTTCAGCTCATCTCTGTTCTGCGACCGCAGCGAGTTATTCACAAATCGCTCATCCGTAGCCAAATCAGCTTGACCCAATACAATGTCACAGAACTTGGCCCACTCGCGCTCATTCTGAATCCCCAGCATCACCGTCCCATCACCCGTCTCAAATGGTCCATACGGATAGATAGCCGCATGCGAAGCACCAGCAGGTGTCGGACCCGGGGCGTTCTCATAGGTATAGTACATGGGGAATCCCATCCACTCAACCATACTTTCCAACATCGAGATATCAATATTACAACCTCTCTTCGCGGGATCCCTCTCCCGTTGATACAACGCCGCCAGGATATTCGAGTAGGCATAGCTACCGGCGGAAATATCAGCGATGGAAATGCCCACCTTAGCCGGCTCTTTCCCTGTCCCCGTGACGGAAAGCATGCCGGCCTCGCTCTGGATCAACAGATCATAGGCCTTCTTATCGCGATACGGTCCGTCAGGACCATATCCGGAGATATTGCACACGATCAACGAAGGATGAGCGGCTTTAAGATCCGCGTATGATAATCCCAGCCGGGCACTGGCGCCCGGGGCGAGGTTCTGGACGAGGACATCAGCGCGGCTGAGCAGGCGCATTAGCACGCTGTGATCGGACGGCTTTTTGAGGTCCAAGGCGAGACTCTCTTTAGACCGGTTGGTCCAGACGAAGTGTGAGGCTAAGCCATTAACGCGGGTGTCGTAGTTGCGAGCAAAGTCGCCAACACCGGGTCGTTCGACTTTGATGACTCGGGCTCCCAGATCGGCTAATTGGCGGGTACAGAAGGGTGCGGCTATGGCTTGTTCCAGACTGACCACGGTGATGCCGGCCAAGGGACCTGCTTTTTTCGCGGTTTTTGTGGAAGCATGCCGGATGCTTGAGATGTTATGGCATGCCGCGCGAACAATTGGACGAGTGGTAGGCATGGTGGTGGTTGTAAGATTGATTGGGATTCTTCGTGGAGATAACCCCGGCTTTTGAGGGCATCCCCGACCGGAGAACATCGCCGACCGTGGGGGCGCGGCTTCTCTGGGGTCGGCTATATGCCCCGGCCTGGCCTCGGTCCACCATTATGATCATGAGGACTGTGGACTATAAAATGAATATGGTCATCCTGGTTATACTCAGGAAGAAGGTATTGATTATTTGTAATAAAGGACTAGAGGTTTTCTCAGACTTTATACAGTCTTTCTATAGCGTCTGTGACAACAGCTGTTGCTAATTTGCTATTGTGTCCATTCACCATTAGGGCGCACAGGTTGATCTCATCATGTTCTTCTTTTTGCTACTTCTTTTCCAAGTTTACTCGGCTTAGGTAGGACCCTAGGGATAACACTGACCTCTCTAGTCCACGATTGATTGGCCACTCGTTCAGTTACTCCTGTCGCCCGGTCGCATTTGAACATATGTTGAAAAGCCCGATCGTAGCAAGGATATTGAAAGAGATTATAGATGTTCGCTTACCACACTACTAAGAAGCAGTGGGAAGAAAGGTTGTTGGGAACACAGCTTGTCCCCAAGCACGTGGCTGGTACACGAATTGAGCAATGATCACCCATACAACTGCGCAGCTGGAACTCGTAAGTCCTAGGCAGCTACGTCTATGCAAGTCGACAAGGATGCTCCCTGCCAAATATAGCCACGGGGCTGTTCGGCTGAACCCCTGCTAGATACCGCCTGTGGTGATCTTGGACAATGTTCACACCCACGCAACCACTAAGGAGTCTTTTAGCCTGACTACTGCACCTTGATGCGACCAAATGCCGGGGGATCTTCGTAACGTGCATGTCTGATGACTGTCCCTTTACCAAAAGAACTCAAGCATGCTCAACGAAACCAAAGCCTGCACTATTTGTAGACCGGGCTGTCAAGCTTTACATCTGTTCCTGAAGTTGCTCGGTCCAACGGACTAGCTGTCCCATCCGACGGATGAATAATGGCTGTCCATCGGGGAGGATGGCATCCATCCAAGGAACTCGCTTGACGATCATCGGGAAAGCATCAGACCTCTCTGCCGTCTGATTGGCGGGGGTAATGTGCTGTTCACGTCATCAATTTTGCGACGGGGGATAGCCCGATGAATGAGACATGCCTTTTTCATGTCGGTGTGGCAGCTGCAAGCAGACGTTTCGGATACATCCGAAATTCTCCGACAAGAAACCTCCAAGCCATGACCTGAGCAAAGCTGATGCCCAAGTCGATCCTCGATTCGGAATCATCCGGTGTGGACAGAAGGTGACTTTCGATCAGCCTGGAGACTAACCGTTGAGGGAATATTAGTTATTGTTGTTATTATTATCTGCTGTCATTCTTGATCAAGTGTCGCATGCACACGTCCCAATGTTGGGCACGTCTTGCAGTAGTCTATGAAGTTCATTGCTCTGTACTTGGATCCGGCAGTTGGCATCAGAGTTTACAGCACTGTGGGTACCATGTGGGCCGCATCATCCCAATAATGGGTTCGAGAGTCTTCTGGCCAGGGTTCCCTGATGTGGCTTGCTCACAGCCGCTTTGTGGGCTTTAGCTGGTCGCAAACGGAGGGAAATGACCACTGTTCTTCAGCTGAAAACCCCCGGTTGCTGTCAATCCAGCCCTAGGCTCCACGTCCGATTAATTTACACAGCTCACATACCCCTTTAATCAAAGACTTGCAAGGTTAAATGGGTCAGATCGCACTTGCCTTTGCAATGACACGGCCAACTTCATGCCCAATGCGACAGATGTTCGCATAATTAGCGCGACTTTGGTGAGCAAGATCCTTGTCGCGTGGGCTTTATCGGACATAACGAGAGCCGAAGGCCCGAGACGAAGCTTCTCATCGAAACCCAGATACTTATCTTAGCGCCCGCATTTGTTCGGTCGGACTTAGCCAGTCGTAGACCGAATCGCTGTCCGGGACCCTGTGGAGGCTTTTCCCCCCAGAATTTGTCATTCGCCTCATGCATCCCTAAATAATCGAGAAAGGCTGTGAACATATATTAGAACAATATCTGCTTGGGATTTCTGGGCTAGACAAACATGTCCGAGCCTAAGAACCAGACGGTAGGGGAGCCAACCATTCCGCCCGAAGAAGGGGTCAAGGGTTGGCTGACAGTAGCTGGAGGCTTTTGCGCCCTATTCTCCTCCTTTGGGTTCCTAAATGCGTATGTATTCATGGGCTGAAAATGTTCCCTATACTCCGTACTGATCTCATCACAGTATCGGTGTCTTCCAAACAACATACCAGCAGACGTCACTCAAAGACTACGATGCGTCCGACATATCATGGATTTTCGCCGTGCAGCTGGCCCTCATGTGGGCACCGGGACCACTATGGGGTCGCATAATTGACACTTACGGCCCGATCCCGGTCCTTTGGCCATGCAGTATTCTGTGTGTGCTAGGACTCTGTATGACTAGCCTGGCGCATGAGTATTACCAGATCTTTCTTGCGCAAGGCCTCTGCTTTGGCATCGGCGCAGGTGGTGTTTTCACTTCGGCCATGATTTGCGTCGGCCAATGGTTTGTTCGTCGTCGAGGTCTTGCAACTGGCGTTGCTGTATCTGGAAGTTCACTTGGAGGTGTTATCTTTCCGATCTTTCTGGACCGGGTCATCAACGACATCGGCTTCTATGGTGCCGTTCGGTATACCGCGCTATTCGTTGGAATCATGCTGGCAGTAGCCTGCCTGCTGGTCCGCAGCCGTCTCCCACGCAAGGAGTGGAACGGTAAAGCAGCGTGGATCGACCTGACTCTGCTCAAGGATACCGCGTTTGGGTTGTACACCGCTGGCGCATTCTTCATTATGTTCGTCAATATTCCGATCGATGACCCTGTTTATTGGCTGACAGTGTCAGGTGGGGACTCTGGGCTCCGTTCGACTATCTTTCCAGTATGGCGGAGAACGCGGGATTCTCATCGACTCTTGCTCTCTATCTTATTTCCATTATCAAGTAAGGCTGCGCGATACCTTCTTTCGCAGATCTCAGTGCTGACTCTGGGAAATGTAGTGGTGCCTCTATATTCGGGCGTCTTATCCCTCCTCAGTTGGCAGATGTCTTTGGTCACTTCAACGTCCTGACACTCTGCTGCTTCGGCACCGGCGTGTCAATGCTCTGTCTATGGCTTCCTTTCAACTACCACCCTTCTCATGCAGGAATCATCGTGTTCGCGGCGGTCTATGGCTTTGTCAGTGGCGCTGTTGTCTCTCTCATGATGCCATGTGTTGCCAAAGTGGGGGATCTGCAGACCCTGGGTCAGCGATTCGGAACATTCCAGCTGATCATGTCAGTGAGGTGAGTATCAGGTTTCTCAAGCAAATTTAGTTTCCTGCTTGCTAACTTGGGCAGCTGTCTGACCGGATTGCCGATCATGGGTGCCATTCTCGAAAAGCAGAACTACACGGATTATTCGGGCTTGCAACTTTTCGGTGCTTGCTGTGGGATATTAGGGTCTGTTTTGATTGGAGCAGCGACGTTCTTGCTCAGGAAACTGCGGAATACGAGCAAGATGTGAGTTGGGTTAGTGACGGCCGGGCTAGCCGGAAGAAAAAAAAACGAAAAAGGAAAAAGATTCGACACTGGGATAGAAGACTGATTCTTGCCTAAATACGACTTGAACGACTGATACATGTAATCGATAGCATATAATAAACTGGAGCTTAGCACTTACTTCAAGACGTGAATCGGGGAGTGTCAAAGGGTTCGGAGTCCCCCATTTGTACCCAATGGACGACATGTAGCAGCAACCAGTGACCAATAGAGGATTAGCATTCATCTTTTTCTGTCTTCTTCTCTGAGTTGGATTAGAAGGGCTGGATAGCAGCTAGATGTGACAGATAAGCCAGTGATCCTTATCCAATGGCTTATCAGTGGTGTCCTCGGGCGAGCTCCCAACGCCCCCATTTTTGATGTGATAACGCCGATTCAAGACCCCACTTACCAGCGCTGCTTCGTTATATAGGCACTGTGATTATCCGAGCTCCTCTGAGCCACCCCAACAATTTGCTTCACAATCCCCATCACAATGTGGCGATTACTTGGCCGGTCCTCCAACACCCCAGAGAAAAGCTCTCCACCTCGGAGCCTTCCAGCCTCATGGTATCGCTCTGATGCCATGTATCAGCTGGAGCGGCGAGCCATCTTCTCCAAGCGATGGATGTTACTCACACATTCCAGTCGACTCACCAAGCCTGGCGACTTTCTTTCCTTTGCTATCTCTAACTTTTCCTTCTTCCTTACTCGCGATCGCGATGGTAATATCAATGGATTCCACAACATTTGTCGACATCGTGCGTACCCGGTTGTCCAAGCTCGATCCGGAACTACCTCCATCCTCAGCTGTAAGTATCACGGCTGGTCCTACGGACTGAAGGGCAATCTATCAAAGGCACCTCGCTTCGAGACCGTATCAAGCTTCGACAAAAGCCAACATGGACTCCTCCCCATCCATGTACATATCGATAAAGCGGGGTTCATCTGGGTGAATTTAGAGGCCGGCGACCCGGAGGTCAAGTGGGACTATGACTTCCAGAAGATCGATGAGCAGCCGCGGATGCAAGACTTCGACTTCGATGGGGAATACACCTTTGACCATTACTGGGAGATGGACGTGGAGGCAAACTGGAAGCTTCTGATCGAGAACTACAATGAATGTTATCACTGCGCGACCTCACATCCACTGATCAATGGAGTGTCGGATCTTCCTCGGTACCGGGTCGAGCCCAAGGCGAGGTATATGGAGCATCATATCTTCAACAAGGACAATATTGATGCGCAGTTCCGGAGGTCAATCACATACTTTTACCCAACCACATCGGTCACAGTCACGTAAGTTTGTATCCGAAGGGAAGGGGTCGAGGGTAAATTAACACGAGCAGGGATAAATTCTTCTACATTCAACGCATGATCCCAGTTAGCGCGACGACCAGCAAGATCGAAAACGAAGTATATCGACACCGAGATGCAACGGATGAGGAGTTTGCCAACATCAACGCGTTTTACCGACAAGTCCTAGAGGAAGACAAAGATCTCTGTGTTGGAGCACAGGAAAACTTGAGCGCGGGTGTGTTTATCAATGGCGAGCTTCACCCGGACAAGGAGAAGGTATGTATGAGACACTGACAGAAGAGACGTGAGATTGGGCAGAGCTGACTGTGGGCAGGGGCCCATCCATTTTCAAGAAGATGTGAGGACAATGGTCATGGGGCACCGGCGAAAAGAAGAGGCCCAAGGCGGGGAAGAAATCTGGCCAGCTGTTCCCAAGATGACTGGGGAGATGAGGACTGGGAAGCTGGCAGAGGAGGAGAAATTCTGTTCTCAGCTGGAAGCGGCGAGCTGCATGGCCAGATCAGAGCTGGCTTGGTAGTGGTTTATCTGAATATATGAAGCAATGAACTTAAAGCGTTCGGAGCATTACCTATCCAAAGGTATTTACATTAAGCAGTCAATGCAGTCAGATTGTGTTGAAAGTGAAAATATGCCCAACGGTAAAGAGTGGGGGGAGTCCGCCTTACCCAGTAATACTATCAACTACTAAGTACTACCATTTCCCTATTTGGGTTCCCCCACTGCTGTCTTATCCAATTCCCTAAGTACTCACACCACAGCTCAATATTGTCGACAAAGGCTAGTCGGTCACTGTTTCATGCGCCGATCAATAACCCAGTTAGCTATACTCCCGTTATGAGGTCAGAATAAGTCACAGCCTCACGCATTACCATCATTTTGATTTGTCCTTTGGATACCCAGTGAAGGCATCTCCAATATGCAATTGACAGCGGGTGTACGATTTCTAAGCTATTTGGCTTTCATCCAGGTAATCATTTTCAACTCTAACCTGTATTCCAGTGGGGCAATTAGCATCACAAACAAACTTTCTCATCCACATGAAGCTTAGACGCAACCGCAACCGGGTTCCATCCGGAAGCTGGTGTAGTGAAACAGGATTCGGCTGAAGTTTGCAAAAGGGACCGAACGCCTTTTTCCAGATATATGTTCCATACTCTTAGTGCTCGTCATACGGGAGTGCTAGAGAACATGAAGCAAAATGGGACTCGACTATATTTTCTTGTAAGAGGCGTCTCTACTACCGATCTCCTTTCCGCATCTGCTGATCATGAGTATGCTAGCCATTGCACTTACACTATTCCTGCTGCATCGGCACTGACGGTACTCTACTACCCATTCTTTACCGCGCAAGACCGTTGCAAAATATGCATTCTGATTACGGTACCTCGACCGTACCTTGAAGCGAAGGACCTCTGATCTGATTTTCCCTGGATTGACAGATTTCCATCACCGCAACAATCCCATGGGATTCCTACCTGATACGGAGTGCTATCTGGACGTATCCGCCCGACGCAGTAGTCGGTTCCAAGATACTTGATATTCCGGTTGAGGAAGTTTTCTTTTTCGCCATACAAACCTACATCACGAGTGTGGCATACTGTATCTTCACGAAGCCGCTTGTGCGACCCATGTACCTTCGGTCGCATCTGGAGAGACGTAGAACGAGAAATGTGGTAGCATTTGTCATTTTAACATTGACAGGTGGTGGAACAGCGTGCCTGCTGTTGGGACGGCATATGACTTACCTGGGCCTGATCTTGGTCCGGGTCTGTCCAATCCTGATATTCCAGTGGTAAGGTCGGTGTACCATGAATCTATCGAAATGCTCATGCGAGAATACAGGATACTGTCCTTTCCTTTTCTGATGGGACTCCCTAGCACACCCACAATCACCGCGATCTGCCTCCCCACACTATACCTCTTGGTTGCAGATTCCCGGGCTATGGAATCTGGGACTTGGAGAATAGAGAGTGGCACCAAATTGGATTGTCAGATTGCCGGTCTAGAAGTTGAGTCAGTCAAACACACCTGTGATCGACATCAAGTCTAACAGTAACAGAGAGGCACTCTTTTTTCTGGTCACCAATATGATGATTGTGTTAGGACTAATTGGGATCGATTACGCATATGCGCTCCAAGAATACAAGTCCCTATCACGGCCAGCAGCAGACAAGGGCACCACGCTCAGGACAGCTCTGCCGTTATTATGCAGTCCACCTTCTATAGACGAATCTCTCATATCTGCATTGTCCCAGGCCGTATATCGTCTGCAGGAGAAGAGTCAGAGCATGTTTCTCGGCAGCGCATTATTCCAGGGTCATCTACGCATTGATCTCATATTCTTGTATTACCCCTCAAACCCATGCGTGGTTCATTCAACTAATATAAATAGGTACTCCTTCTGCCGCGTCATGGATGATCTCATTGACGAAGCTGAAGATGATCAGGAAGCCAAAGTTTGGATCACAGAGTGCAGATACCTCCTAGACTTAAGCCATCGCGGCCGACTACCTCATGACGCTTATCATGCTTCTAAACAAGGGGAGAAATATGAGAGACTGTACCAATCGATCAGCTGCCTTCCTCTCTCCCGCTTAACTGAGAACTTCTTCTATGACTTGCTGAGGGGGTTCGAAATCGACTTGGCATTCGATTCCAAGAAAGGGACTTTCCCGATCAAATCGGACTTTTGCCTTGATCAGTACGCAGGTTTTGTAGCTGGCACGGTGGGTGCACTAGTTCTCGACCTTGTCGTATTCCATCATGGCCATGACTATACGGAAGATGTCCCGCTGTTGAAAGGGACGGCGAAGAAGATGGGCAAAGCCATGCAGTGTGTCAATATTGCACGTGATATCCATCGCGATGCCACAATTGGCCGAGTATATATTCCTACAACGTGGCTGGACGAAGTAGGCCTTACTCCAGGAGATGTATTGGAGCGTCCTAATATCCTCATCATGTATGGCCTGCAGGAGAGAATGCTGCAGAAAGCAGACAGATATTATCAGGTCAGCCGAGAGGCAATTGAAGAGCTACCTCGCGGTGTAAGAGGGCCCCTTCGGGCAACCGTGGAGAGCTACATGGATATTGGACGGCTGCTGAGGGAGCAGAAAGACACAAGCCTGGCGCGAGCGTCGAAGATGAGGGTACCTTTGATGCGACGGCTAAAAGTTGGTTGGCTGGCAATGTTGTAAACACTCGATGATACAGTGTGTGCTACATATTTCTGCCACAAAGCACTGCTTCAATCAGGTCGAATAAGTGATCAATCTTGTCAGGCATCAGGACGCAACGCTAGTGCTGACACTGTCGTTCTATTGCCACCTCCCGCCTATCGGCTCGAATGACCACTTTTGCCGTCAAGACCTTGGCCTTTTGCAGCAGACGGCGCAGGCAACTGAGTCCGAGGATTCAACTGATTTCACTGGTGAATATTATCTGAAAGCATGAAAAAGCCACCTCGGCGCTATGTTCCGCCCGTCTGACAAGACCATGTGTGGCGTTATTCAGCTGTGCAACGGTTCAGCTACAACCCGTATGAAGAGGGCGCCATCGGCAAGGATAACCAAAACCTCGTCGTTTTGCTTAAATTGGTATCATACACCAGCTCGTCGGCTTTGGTCGTAGGTTTAGCTGATGATCGAGACAGCCAGCCACTGCAAAAATTTCGCAGACAGGAGCTGAAAGGTAAACTCTGAGGCTATTGTAGTGCCGACTCCAATCTTGACATGAATTGATTCCAGGTATATAAGGGTGCGACGCATCCGAGACTGGTCCTTCCCCAAGATACCCTTCAGATATCAACGCAGACATCTCTCTGCTGTGGAAACGGACCAAAGTCTGAAATGCAGAAAAAAATGGATCTTGTTGGTTTTTCTCGCTTCTACGAGATTTGCACTTCTTTACTTGGCGCTGCAAGTGCTTCATTTAAAGGCGATGTCGTAAAGACAAGACAGAGCGATACAAGGGTTTATAATGTGAGTGATCTTTAGTATGCTCACGATTCCAGAAAGCTCACAGCTGTATAGAAAGCATGGTACTGGAGAGACCTAGCTCTGACTATCTGGCTGTTCACTGCGGACGACTTTGCAACATTTGTCATTCCTGAAACAGCATTCGGAATCTGCGCAGCTCTGTCCGGGCCTCTTCTGACAGATGATAACACTCCGCACTTACTCTCAGTCGTTTGTTGGATACCCATGGTCATGCTATGGAACTGGCTAAACCTGTTCGTGTTCAATCTGGCGAATCAAAGGCACCCGGACTCCGTGGCAGAAGACAAAATCAACCGACCCTGGAGACCACTGCCCGCAGGTCGGATCAGCATTCTGCATACTCGCCAGCTACTCTTACTCGCGATCCCAGTTGTGCTCGGACTCAGCGTCTACCTCGGTGCATGGGAGGAGACCGCTCTCCTCTACACGATGAACTGGGTATACAATGACCTGGGCGGTGGTGACAACGGCTTCATCCTACGGAATGTCCTTCTAGCCCTCGCATTCAGTCAATACAACAAGGGATCACTGCGTGTCGCGACCGGAACCGGATTTGACCTACTCCCTAGAGCATGGCGGTGGATCTGGCTCACCAGTGCCGTAATCGGCACGACGATGCATATTCAAGACGTCAAGGACGTGGAAGGAGACCGTGCCAAGAACCGTCGCACAATGCCCATTGTACTGGGCGACGGGCCGGCCCGGTGGTCCGTTGCGATTCCTGTTGCGATCTGGTCTGTTGTTTGTCCTGCGTTTTGGGAGCTGGACGTACCCGGGTATGTTCTCCCGGTTGCGTTGGGAATGACTATTGCTGGGAGGATCCTGTTCCTTCGGGAAGGAGTTGCTGATAAGCGCACGTGGAAGATGTGGACGGCGTGGACGGCGGTGATTTGGATGCTTCCTTTGTTCAAGAATTCTAGTGTTTTTGTCAGGTTTGGTAGCAGTCTAGGGTGGTGTGAGGCATAGCTTGAGCCAAGTATGCTCTCAACACTTCCATCCATAGACACTTTTTGCGTGTTACTATAAGTTGATTCATATTGTTTTCTAGCTTGCAATGCGATTTGACCGTTTTAGTTTTCTAGACACCAGCAAAAGGAACCCTTATTAGTATGCAGTCAATCGATTCCCAGCTCGCTGAGACTTAGATCACTTTATTGCCAAGCACTATAAGCACCAGCATCATTGGTCTAGTGGTAGAATTCATCGTTGCCATCGATGAGGCCCGTGTTCGATTCACGGATGATGCACAGCAATTTCTTTTTGCTTTTTGCCGATTGTGCCCAGAGTGGGGTTGTTCCACCGTATTTGATTTTCCTTGCGGAAGAACACCGTTTTTAACTGCATCATGGATTTAGATGAGCAGCGTCGCACACCATGGAGAACAGTCTTACCGGTACTAGCTACTACAAGTATTGTCAACTTTTCAGTTATTTTCGCTTTTGTTAAAAAGGAACGAATAGGCCATGAATGAATAGACCTGCTAGTTCGTATTTCTAGTCAGGTCCAGTTCAGCAAGGAAATTGACAAGGTGTTTGTGTTGTACCGGAAATATATATTTGCTTGTGAAGTACTACTACTAGTACTTCAACTTCATGCGCTTCCACGAAAACTTCCATCTTCAGATAACAAAGAAAAATCGACCTTATTTAGAACATTAAAAAGTCATCATAATTTATTCATTGAAGCATACTGCCTTCTAGTCTAGTCTACAATCTACTCCCCATATTAACATGCACCGCCTTAACCTGCGAATACGCCTCCAGCCCCGCCTCACCCAACTCACGCCCGATTCCACTCTGCTTGACACCTCCAAACGGAATCCGCGGATCACAGTCCTGGCTACTATTGATCCAGACCATGCCAGCCTCGATATCTGCCGCTACACGATGCGCCCTCTCCAGATCAGTCGTGAAGACCGCAGCGCCCAGACCATACGTGGTATCGTTGGCGCGACGCACCGATTCCTCCTCCGAATCAAATGGCAGAATTACCACCACAGGCCCGAATACCTCTTCTTTACAAATGCGCATGTCATCAGTCACGTCAGTGAACACTGTCGGCTCGATGAAGTAGCCCTTTGCGTTCTTTTCATCCTTGGGGGTATAGGGCTTGCCGCCGGTGACTAGCGTAGCGCCCTCCTGTTTGGCTGTCTCGATGTAGGCGAGAACCCGCTCGTACTGTGCCCGGGTGACCTGTGGTCCCTGGTAGGTATTCTCGTCCCACTGGTCGCCGATCTTGGAAGTCGTCTCGATTGCCTCCCTGAATTTCTCCAAGAAAGTAGTGAGAATACTCCGATGCACGAAGATCCTCGACGTAGCAGTGCAGATCTCGCCTTTGTTGGACATGATGCCGAAATGCGACCACTTAACTGCCTGCTCGAGATCCGCATCCGGGTAGACGATCAAGGGTGACTTTCCGCCCGTCTCGAGAGTGATGTTCTTCAATGTGCCGGCTGCCATCTTCATGATTTCTCTGGCGGTAGCAGTGGAGCCCGTGAAAGCAATCTTATCAACGAGCGGGTGCTGGACCAGCGCAGCGCCGGCTTCTTTTCCGTAGCCGTTGATGATGTTCACCACTCCGGGCGGGAAGCCGGCTTTCTTGATGAGTGTTGCGAGGACCAAGATGCTGAGGGGTGTTTGTTCAGCGGCCTTGATGACGACGGTGTTCCCGCAGGCGAGCGCGGGTCCCAGCTTCCACGTTGCCATCGAGAGCGGGTAGTTCCATGGGATGATCTGACCGACCACGCCGATGGGTTGGCGGATAGTGTATGCGAACTTTTGGGGGGTCGTGCTGATGGTTTGTCCGAAGGTCTTGTCAGCCCAGCCGCTGTAGTAGCGGATGGTGGTGATGGCTTCGGTGAGGTCTTCGGTTAGGGCGACTTGGTAGGGTTTGCCTGTTGGCAAAGTCAGTTTCCGCACAGCGGTGACAAGGGGGGCTATACGAACCGTTATCCCATGCGTCAATAGCAGCAAAAAGCTCCCGGTTCTCTTCCATCAGATCGGCCAGACGACCCATTAGCTGTCCGCGCTCGGTGGCGGGGAGGAGCTTCCACGAGGAGTGTGATAGCGCCGCTTTGGCGGCTTGAACGGCAGCGTCGACATCTTCTGCTGTTGCGGCGTGGACGGTGGCGATGGGCTTGTCGGTGCTGTAGAAGTCAGCATGGAAGGTTGAGAGTAGTTTAGATGTAAGGTGCATACGCAGGATCTAAAGACACGATAGTCTGGCCACTCGACGAAGGACGAAACTCATTGTTAATAAACAGGCCGGTCGGCTGCTGGTACTGCCGGCCATTGGGGGTGGTGATGTCGACAAAGAGGGAGTCTGCCATAGTCTCTTCTGGGTCTTAATGTAGAAAGATAATAACTCTTGCAGAAAATAGGGATAAGCAGCGCGAAGACAGATGTGTTGTTCTGATATAAGCTGCTTGGCTAGAACTTCCTGTTCCGGATGTGGGATGTGCCTCCGCGCAGCCCACTTTGCAATTGAAGTGTGTCACTAGTCAGCAATTGTCTCTTCCGATAAGGCGATAACGAGGATAAGATCGCCCCATTACCCCTCACTTCATTGATGTCGAGACGCATTGATAGTCTGGCGCCAGTGGATGCGCTAATGCCCCCCACTGCATGCCGGAACTGCCTTCCGTTGGGTTACCCGCATCGCCAAAACAGGAAGGTGGTTCCGGCATGGATATCTTAGAGCCCCTCCAACATTCTATCCAGAGAGTTAGGGCTTCGCCATTGACCAGAACATCATTAACAGTGTAGTATAGACTTGGAGTGTAGTTGGAAGGGAAGGCAGTCCCGTCGCGTTATGAAATAAAAATGGCTTCAAGACTCACTCATGAGTCCAGCAGACACTCCCTCCTTCCATCCTCACGTTCTTCTTAGCTATACCAAGCAATCACCACTACATCCAACATGACTTTCACACAGCAACTCCCCGCCCTTCACGGCATTATGGTTGCCCTGATCACTCCCTTCACAGACGACAAGGCCCAGATCGACGCAGCAAGACTCAAGTCTCACATCGACCACCTGATTGGCGCCGGCGTGCATGGCCTCGTGCCCGGCGGTAGCACAGGCGAATTCACCACCATGACACGCGAAGAACGCAAGAATTTGACGGAGCTCTGCGTCGAGTACGCAGCTGGCCGTGTGCCTGTCGTAGCAGGCACCGGCAGTACCTCCACCGAGGAGGCAGTGGACCTGGCACGTCATGCCGCACAAGCTGGTGCAGCCGCCGTGATGGTTGTGCCACCATTCTACGATCCCTTGAACGTGGAGCAATTGACCGAGCTCATGGCTGAGATTCATGAAGCCAGTCAGCTGCCGATTGTCTACTACAATATTCCCTCTGCCAGCGGGTTGACCCTTACCCCCCAGCAAATAGCGGACCTGAGCAAGGTCGGCGTCAAGTACCTCAAAGACACCTCCGGAAATGCGCCGGCCTACACGGAATTGGTGTTTGGGTTGTCGGATCAGATCACCGCTTTCAACGGGTGGGATACCCTTACGTTCTATGGGTTGGCAGCTGGATCGCCTGGAGCGGTTTGGGGTGCTGCCAACATCATCCCGGAGTTGGCGGTAGAGCTGTGGAATGCGGTCTCTGTCGAAGGAGATCTCAAGAAGGGCCGTGAACTATGGGCTAAGGCATGGCCCATTTGCAAGTTCCTTGAGTCGCACAATTACGCTGCGGCTGTCAAGACAGGCGTTGAGCTGAGGGGCCAGGCGACTGGTGGCTTGCGGAAGCCATTCGCCCTCTTGAAGGAGGATCTGCAGAGTGAACTGGCCCAGTTGATGGTGAATGCGAGTGTTAATGTTGTAAAGCGTTCGTCATGATGTCATTAAAATTGGATATAGAACAATGAATTTATGAGCACATGTTATCGTATCTCGTGTAGCGCCTTGTAATAGACCCACGGTAGCCATCATGCTAAGATAGGCCATATTTGTTTGCCTTTGACGACATCAAGCCAAGTCGGAAATGTCTCTCCTCTGCCTCGCGTGAAATGTGCATCCTGTTTGTCCCAGACTTGTTTCATGACCTCCAGGACAGTTTGGTAGGCAGAAAATCCACATCGTGCCTCTCCTTTGTCCAGAAGCGCCGTGATCGATTGCCGCCTAGCGGGCGTCGTAGCCTCGCACCCAGCAATAAACAGAGGCCATACAGTGCCTGGGCCAGTCTGGTCGGCTTCCACTAACGCTACATCAAACTCGTTCAATGCCGAGATCACCTTGTCCACTTGGCTCTCCAAAATAGCCGGGTGGACCTGACGGATTCGTCTGTAAAAGAAGATAACCAGTGCAGAGTTCAAAGCCTGTAGAAGACACCCATGTGACCTGGCCAGTAAATTCGCCGAATTGCAAATATTATCCTCCGTTTTCCTAGAGGCAAAAGTACAAACCATATTCTCGAGGCGAGCACTGCGCCGGTGCAATGCTTCCCATGCATCAAGGCTTGCGTTTATTCCTGGATGCATCTCGCGCGCAACTCGAAAAGTCTCCATTACGTTGGCCAAGCGCGTTGTCTGAGATACCAAGCTAAGCCACGTCTCGGATACTCCGTAGATCTGGTTGTATAGTGTGGCAGGGTATTTCCGCGAATCCTGCAGGTGGATGTCATATAAGCCAACATCAGCTTCCTTTGGCTCGTCAATATCCAGGTCGCTATCGGACGGCCGCCGATCGAGGCGCAAGAAGTCATCCAAGCGTGATGTTCGGTAACCAGCTGCCTGAGTGTTCTCGCCTCTCTGGTATCGAAACCGGTTTTTGAGCGCCTCAATAAAGGTATCCGACGGTGTGTAGTTGTGCAAAACGTAGGTACTCTCGCCTACTATCCGTAGCCAAGTATATGTATGGTGTAACAGGCGTGCTTTCTGAGAGATGCGTTGTTTTGGCAAACCTCGGAGGCGTAGGAGCCGCTCAGCATCAATCATGTAACACCTCGCGTCCTGCTGCTGGCCACTTAGAACCTGCTTCGATCAGCAATCTATCTGGAACGTAACTTGACAGCAGTCTTACAGCAAACTCAGTCAAAGCGCAGATTGCCATTAACTGATCCTTGTATTTGGCCTTCTTTGGCTCTTGGGTTTCATGCTTCAAGGACATCTGCATATGGTCTTTGGCTAGATGGTAAGCGTATTCTGCTACCGGCTTCCAGCGTTCCGTCGAGTCTGGGGTTCTCATGGAAGGATTTACTGTTAGATGAAGGGCCGAACAGGCCAAGAGGCAGTAAAGGTTAGCCAACCGAGCGTGAGTGATATTTTGAGACCCGAGAAAAGTGATATCGCTGTATGTTACAACAGCAGACGGCACATTGAGTATCTTCCAAGGTGACTTCTGGTCTAGAGGAACGGCCATCATACGTGAAATAACATGATCCTGAAAGTGCCGTAATAGGAAATGAGCATCTGCTAGTACATCAGGTGGATTCTTATCAACTGCTGATATCATCTTAGAAACACAGTCATTCTCTGGGCCAGAATTGTAGACGGCAGCTGTATCATCCATTAGACTAGGCGCTTCGCCAAGGAGATTATGTTCAAGTATAGGGGCCTGTGTCCCTAAATCGAGGGGCAACCAATCACCCAGGTCAAGTGTGCCAGATAGTGTAGCACTATGCAACTGAGGGTCCAAGCTAAGAATGTCTGACCACTGCAGCAGATCATTCATGTAGGCGAGCGAGTCTTGCGACAGAGCTGGGCTGACCCCGGAAGCCCCTTCAGGCAGGGTATTCCCGGACGATAGAACCATATCATTTGCGACCGTAGTTTCGTCAGCAGGCTGAGCCCTACTTGCAGATTTGGGGCCGGTAAGACTAAAATCCAGCACAGAGAATGGCCCGACTACAACATCACCCTGTGAGGGTCTCCCGGCATCCCGTGATCTATTTTCGATCTCCGCCAAAGAGGCATCAATAGAGCCTGACACCAAGTCTGCACTCAAGGCATCACTCATGGAGACTCTTGACTTCTCTAAGGCAAATTTATTAGCTTCACTATCCCGGACTTGTATATCAGGTAATCAATTATAGAGAGGGATCAAGAACCTGTGTAGAGATGGCGTCGAGGCCCTTGCTTCTCTGGATCATTTGCCTTGCCAGTTGCTGTCCCCGAAGAAGGCTGGGACTTCCGATCGGACATCCATCGGATCTCATCAACAAACCCCTCACATACCACGCCAGTTGCCCGACACATCTGGCAAGTAGGCCTCTTTTGGTCGCATTTGGCATGACGCCGACGACATGTTTTGCAGGCTCCCAGGGCATGACTACGACGAGTCCGGCGACCTGATTGCTTGGAAGAAGCCATGTCAGTCAGAGTAGGCCATATCAACAAAAACGGAAAGTATAGTAATCGAACAGAATCTGGGGTATGAGCCGGCGTTGTGCTGAAGCTGGAAAGTGAATCAATTAGTAGCGGGTTATAGGAAAGGGTGCGGTCCGACCGGGGAGGAAGGAAGTTCCGCCACACCGGAACCTCCTTCCGAATTGGACCAAAGAAGCGTCGGAAGGACCTGCTGTCCCGGGTTTAGTCCCTGCAATCTGATGGGACCTTGCTAAGAGCAGGTTCTACGTGTGATAACTACTTAATATTATTGATTTGGATGGGTATGAATAATTTGTATGTGAATGCACTTATTCTGGTCTTCTAATAACTCTTATACAGATCTATTTCAATCCAAGTCTTTGGGCCTCGGCGAGAACGGTGTGTGGAATCTCCTCCTCCAATGTCCTCCCCTCGGGGACCCATCCCAGGTACTTGGCCGCTCGCTGGGCTACCTGCTGGGCATTGGTCCCCCATAACACCCCACCATGAGGAGTGAGCGCATCGGCCTCTTCATGACTGATCTCAGTAACCGAGTCGGATTCAGCTAGGCCGAGCTTCTTCACTTCTTGCGCCACTTGCGCTGAGATAGAACCGAATGACTAAATCTTGTCAGAAGATATTTTTTTTCTGGACCCAGGTATATAAATGTAAGGACTTACAATAGCCCCGTTGCCCGGGAAGTAGAGCCCGTTCTTGTTCCACAAGTCCCCTTCCTCATCCCGCAAAGCCTTCTCGGCCAGCTTCACAAAGATGCTGCTGACATCTGAGATATGCACATTACTCCATGTGGCTTCTCCTTTACCCACTTTAATCCCGCCCCGGCGTTGCATCGTCACTCTTGCCAGCTCCGGAATTTGTATGCTCCGCTGGTTGACCGGCCCTTCACCCCGACCATAAATGATAGGAGGAAAGATCAACGCGGTTTTCGGACGATTGGCGGCAGGGGGGAGGTTGAGGATGAAATTGTCGACCACGCGCTTTGCAGAGTACTGTTGGATGAGACCCCGCAGGTCATCGGCTCCATCGACGTCGCTGTAGACCTTGTCGGAGGGTTCTCCAAAGGTACTGGCTACAATGTCGGGAATAGAAAGGACGGTTGCGCCTGATATCTGAAGCCAGTGACCTGTTTGTATTATGAGCAACGAGAAACACTGGACGGACGAGGAGGTAAGAGGTAATTACCTGGCTTAGGTCTTTCCGCTGCGGTCAATCCACGAGCGATGGCCTCAGCGCTCTTGACATGGTTTGAGCTTGCGGTGTCTAGTGAAAACAGACCAATGTTAGTAAGAGGCAGGGGACGTCTCGAAGTGGGATACTCACGGATGACAATGTCCGCTTCACGTGCCTGCTGTTCCAAAGTAGAAGAAGCATCCAAGTCTCCCAGGACTATTTGCACATCAGGGTATGCTTGAGAGAGTTTCTGCGCCTTTGCCTCGTCCCTCAGCAGGACTGTATACTGGCAGGTTGGAAGGGTTGATTTCAGCGCATAGAGCACGTCTCCTCCGATATAGCCTGAGGCTCCTGTGCTAGAACTACCGTTAATCGCAATGACAAAGTTAGACCACGGGAGTATACGTACAGAAAAATTTTCGCCATTGTGACTACTATGCTGCAATGCAACAGTTAATAGTGCAGGACAAGGAAACGAATTGACAAGAGGCATGTAAAATAACCACGATCAAATTGAAATGATGTGATGAGGGGTAGACTTCTTCTTTCTGAGGGGCATATTTCTATTTGGTAGGTGATTCCGAGGAACGATCGTCACCCCATAATAAAATTCCGGGGATAGTAGCTGATAAGGCTCTCCGCTGCACAGACTTGCCCAATGCCATAGGGCAGCTGAATTCAGAGTGTCCGCGCTTTGCGACAGCGTCACGCTGCTGGGAAGGTATCTGAGAGTTGTTATCTTTTGCTTTCCTCTTTCGGTGTTAAGGAATAGCTGCGGTCACAGGACAACTAAAATTTAGGAAAGTCAGTAACGCCGAATTCTAGTATATAGGATCGATTGTGCCCAACTACAGGATAATATAATGCTATTGGAACCTGAATTTTGCTGCTCTTGACGCATTTTCATAGCCCGGTGCTTTGTTCTGATCCCATTGCCAACATGGCTCATCGCGGAGAGACATTCCACAAAGATGTCAGCTGTATCGCCGACCTGAAGGCGATTGGGAGTAAGAAGCTCCCAAAGATGGTCAGAGGTAGGGCATTTTCAGCACTGCAAAACATGGACTTTTGATCACTAACATCGGTGATCGTCAGATTACTACAATGAAGGTGCCATGGACCTAATAACGTATCCACGAACCCTCGAAGCTACCATTATCAAACAATCACTAATGGCACAGACTACACGACAATGAAGCCGCATTTGATAGATACAGAATTCGCCCACGCGTCCTGGTAAACGTGGCCAATATCGACACTAGCACAGAGATACTTGGGACTAAGGTAGCACGCATGTTAATCTAACAGCCCACAGAATCATCGCTGATGCCCTTCCTCCAC